TGATGCTGTTGATGAGCTGGAGGAAGGCAGGGCAGATTGTTTCCCTGTCCTCATAAAGGGCATGCTATTTGTAACTTCTGTAACATGTTGGGTGTATCACTTGGCTTATTACTGTTGTCCAACCTGGCAGGAGAAAGACCAAGGAAATGACAACTACATAGTCTGGACAAAGAACAAGAAAGAGCATCTAATGTTTTATAATTGGAGAACATGAAAATGTGTACATAATATCTGATGTGTTCTGAGCTGTGGTAATATTATCATACAAGGAATTGAAAATGCAGTTTCATGTTAGAACTTGATGGACTTCAGAGAAGGTATCACCAAGAGGAGTGGATCCTGTTTCCTGCCACCTCCAGTCACAGGTTCCCACCCTTTCCTTGCCTCATACCTAATGATTAGGGGGCCACTGGGTGACCCAAATCTTCTTACTCCTCATATGGAAAATGAATAATTTTGATGTGTGTTATGCATGTTAGTTTTCTATGGTCAATAAAGTGTTCTGACTCATTCTATAGCCACATAACATTATGATGCATTCCAGTGAAGGAGACTGTTGCTAGCAGAAAAGCAAAAGTATTGTATTCAGCCACTGTGCAAGGTTTGACAGAAATTGCTGTAACATTAAATTGTACCTTTGGATTCATCTGTGAATGGATAACAAGGCTTTAAAAATTCATCCTCAGTATGACATCATAATTTCAATCCCAGACTAACAGAACATACAAAATTGCCTAATTTGTAAATGTACATTTTAGTTTGAACTGTTTGTATAGATACTGTTATGTTAATGATTAAAGACTCATCTCCACAACCACATAGCCAGAGGAACAATGAGAGGCAGGAGAACCACCTCTAACCTTATCAGAAATCAGAGCAACCTCATTTAGCTCCTCCCAGGGCTATCACAGGAGGGTGATTAGACCGTTATCCAAGGATGAAAGCCATCCAGGTGAGTAAAGGAGACAGGTTCTTTGCATCACTTTGCAGACAGGAGTGTTACTACCTACATGGGTCTGCATCATTATGGGATGCAGGAAAAGAGCATTTGGGTATTGTACAAAACTTATAATAAACATTAACTTGTATTTGGCAAGCAAGGGGGAACATCTGGACCACAGAAGGTCATGTTTTAACAAACAGACTGCATGGGCAGCACATAACAGAATGCCTGAGAATACTTCAAAGGAAGTTAATGTGATTTTTTTGTGCCATTGGATGATTATACTTAGCATTTTATTTCAAGCCATATATAAACTCTTAGAACATCCCTATGGACACTTTTTCTTCTCTTATGGAAGCGTGTAAGTGTCTCATTATCATGAAATAAACCTTCTGTAATTTTGCCGTTGTGTCCCTTACCTCCTTGGTCAATGAACATCCCAAATCTCTTTTGCGACACTACCAAGCAGACTGCATGTCTTAAGGCCAGTTTCTGGGACATCCATAGTATAAATGATCATCTAGCCCAACTGCCTGACCAATTCAGGGCTGATCAGAAGTTAAAGCATGTTATTAAGGGCATTGTCCAAATGCCTTTTAAACACTGACAGGCTTGGGGCATCAACCACCTCTCTAGGAAGCCTGTTCCAGTGTTTGACCACCCTCTCGGTAAAGAAATGCTTCCTAACGTCCAGTCTAAACCTCCCCGGTGCAGCTTTGAACCATTCCCACGCGTCCTATCACTGGATGCCAGGGAGAAGAGCTCAGCACCTCCCTCTCCACTTCCCCTCCTCAGGAAGCTGTAGAGAGCAATGAGGTCGCCCCTCAGCCTCCTTTTCTCCAAACTAGACAAACCCAGTGTCCTTAGCTGCTCCTTACAGGACATGCCTTCCAGCCCTTTCACCAGCATTGTTGGCCTCCTCTGGACGCATTCAAGTACCATAATACCCTTTTTAAAGTGTGGGGCCCAGAATGGCACACAGTAGTCAAGGTGAAGCTGCACCAATGCTGTATGCAATGGGATAATCACCTCTTTTGACTGGCTGGTCATGCTGTGTTTAATGCAGCCCAGACCATGGTTTGCCCTCTTGGCTACCAGGGCACACTGCTGACTCCTATTGAGCCTCCTGTCAACCAGCACCCCCAGATCCCTTTCCACAGGGCTGCTCTCTAGCCGCTCCTCTCCCAGTTTATACTTGTGTCTGGCATTCCTCTGTCCCAGGTGCAGAATCCAGCATTTGTTCTTGTTAAATTTCAGCCATTGATGATTGCCCAATGCTCCAATCTACCTAATCTATCTGTGTGGGTCCCAGTGTGCATGTGGGTGCATGAGGTAACTGGAGGACCGGGGAGTTCAGGGCCCGTTGCTGGGTAGACTGAGTGTCTAAGGCCAGTTACTGGGATCCCACGTGTGTGTGCGTGCACACGCATGCGCATGCACATGTGCGTGAAGGAGTGCATGAGGGTTTGTATCTGTGAGTGAGGGGGTCTGTACCAGGAAGTGGCGTGGGGCTGCAGGCCTCAGGGGCTCATACGTCCAGGTCTGTTAGTGCCATCTGTGTTTGCATGAGTGTTTCTGTCTGTATTGATTTGCGTGGCTGGCTGTGTGTGTACGTATATTTGCATTGTGTATGTGTTTGTATGCCTATTGGGAATACACACTCAGCCTTGCTAGTGGGTGGACCTAGGGAAAGGGAGCTGCAGCAGCCTCGCCACTGTTGGGCTACCTGATTTCTCAAGTCTTAACAAGTACCTATGTAAGTACCTATATAGGTCCCTCTATTAATTTTGCACTGTGATTTAAGCTACATTAATATATTTTCAAGTCTTGTCACAAGTGCAGAAAATGGTTTGAGATGATGTTTCTTTTATGGTCGAAGTAATGGAAATTCTTTAACCTCAGGAGATGGTTAGATCAGAGGATGGAATTAATCAGATGGAGAATGGGGAAGGGAATAGCATTGAAATAGGATGCTCAGAAGGGAACAAAACAGTGATATATCTGTTTTTATTTATATTAAAGGTGTCTAAAAAGTAAGAGGGGAAAATGGTACGTGCAGCCCTAAGTGAACTTGGCATAAGTCAGACCAGAAATTTGAAGGAGAGACTAGAGTGACCAGGATAATATAATAGAGAATACAAAATATTCAGCCAAGATAAGCTGTGCTAATGATGGAACAATACTATCTGCAATGAGAATTTAGAACTGGTTGAAATGAAAAGAAGCAGCCATCTCAATGAATGTGGATTGAAATTCTAAGTCTGAGTAGGAAGATCTACATTGCCAATGGCCTAAGAGCAATGGCAACAGTATTGTGCTCTGCTGAAACTTCCATGACCCTCAGGTACATTGAGCAAGTAACACACAGGGATCTGAAGCAGAGACACTATCAATGAGTCAGGGATCTCCTGAAAGGAAACCTATCACTCAGCCCTGAAGAATAGTAGCATTCAAAATTCTATCAATAAAGAGTGCTAAGAGACCCCTGCAAAATTATTTATCAACATCTGTTGATGCTATGAAACAGACGAAATCCATGCTGAAACCCATACTGAAATCCTTCTTTGTGTAACTGGTCTTCACCAGAATTGTTGTCTGAAAATGAATTGACCGGAGAAGAGGTTCTGGAACAAGCAAATGATACTAAATTGCTATTGTCAGATCTTTTTCAAACAAAAATCCTATGACAACACAAGTTTGTAACACACTAGAGAGTTGGTATGTCTGGATTCAGATCCTGACTTGAAACAATGACAATGGGGGATTTCAATCTAGACATTCTCCTTGAATGTTTTACCTATTATATTGCTTGTTTCCTGGAGGAAAACTCTAACGATGTGTTCTGTGTGAAAGCAGGTTTCTCTTTCCATCCCATTTACCTGAATCTTAGGACAACTTTTACATAGCATATCTATGTCACTAGTTAGGTACCTCATCAGCTACTTCACACATGAATTCCCCTGCATTATGTTGGCTTTGTGAAATCCCATGCTTAATATCAGCTCTGAGATCTTTCTCCTACAGATAAAGAACGTGTGTATTTCTGAGACGACACTTTCAATTAATCATTTCACAGTCATCAGTTTAATAACAGACATAGGTATCTCTGGTGCATTAGTTCCAGTCCCCTTTCCATGCAGTTCTGCCAATGCAAAAATAGAGAACTGTGGGAAATACAGCCCCTAAGGATTACTGTAAACACCGATTCATTCCACCAGATGGTATCCTTTCACTTAAATAAGAAAGAATAGTTTCAGTAGCATGGATCTTGGGTTGTTTGATTTTGGCATTGGTCTCTGGGGCCTCATTTAAAAGCTACAGATGGCAAATACAACTGCTGTGATGGTTCCTACTGTGCGTCCAAAATACCATAGTAGGACAGTGATCAGTCTTCTTAACACAGGTTAAAAGATTGTGTCAGAGACAGTGATATCACCCTGAATCCTGGAAGTTGGGTTTATAATTAGTACAGGTACTGTTGGGACAACTAAGGGAAAAGAAGTTGTTAGATGTTTGCTTTAGGAACAACCCAAGTTTCCTTCACTTTTGGTGTGTGCTAAGGCTACAACAGGGTCCCATATAAAGCTGTTCCCAAAACAAGATCATGAATGCTGGCTCTGACAGGTGAAGGAAGAAAAATAATTAAGGTCTGAGCAGATGTATTGTATTTGCTCTTTTTCCAGAAAAAAATTCCAGCAGTCATGAATACAAAAAAAACCCGCTTTACTTGCTTACACGAAACATTTTCTGTTGTGTTCTGGAAACAATATATCAAAAGGTAAAATAAAACATATGAGGGTAAAAAAAAGACAGTTGTCATATATGACAATATCCTGTCTGATAGAATAAGAAAAACTTCCACCTGAGTCAGTTTGAAACTTTCTGTGTGTTTTCAGCAGATACACTCCAAAAAAAGTGTTTGCTTGACATTTCTTGCAGGAAGGAGCTTGGTTTTCAACATAGATTTAGCTGTTACAGAGATCTCTGCTATTGGTTTAAGAGAAACATGTGAAACAGACCTATATAAATCCCTTATAGGGGCATGCTCACTGACTACTGAGGCAGAAATGAGGATGTGGACAGCTTGGTGTGTGGCCATGTACTTCTTTGGAGCAAGTAAGGCGTCAGTAGAGCTATGATACCTGCTCTGCTCTGGGAGAATGTAGCTTACTTGTTTTACTGTGTATTTGTTTTGCTTTGTCTTATAGGAGCTAAAATCACCCAAACCTCAAGTCTTGTACTGAAAGAAGATGAGAAAGCTACTCTGACATGCAGTCAAAATGATAATCACAATTATATGTGCTGGTACCTGCAGCAGCCGGGGAAGGGGCTGCAATTGCTCTATTATTCCATTGGTGTAAATCAGAAGCAAGAGGGTGACATTCACACTGGATACAAAGCTAACCGGTTAAACCTCACAGACTTCTATTTGGATATTTTATCTGTGAAGATGAACCATTCAGCTGTCTATTTCTGTGCCAGCAGTTTGGACACAACACTTCAAAGTCACTTGCTTTCTTTACATAAACTTCTCTCCTTTCCAGCACCCTCCCTCAGAAGGGAGACGCTCTCAGCACAGGAAAAGGGTATGTAGGCCTATTGACAAACGAGATGTTGCCGAGGAGTTGGAACAGGAGAGGCAGAATAGGTCTTTGAAGTGCAGGTCAATTGCTGAACTCTTCTTTCCTGATCAGCCATTTATTCTCTATCTCATCAGAACAATCAATAAAAATTGATAATCAAATGCAGACATAAAATAAAGGAAATGGAAACTGCAATCTACACAGCCACAAATTATTGTCCCCTAAGCCATTTTCTTACCTGACACAGAACAGTTACTTGAAATATACATATGTCTAAGTCTGAAATACTTTAGAGATAGTGACTTGTATGTGCACTGTCATTCCTCTGAATATTATCAGTGAAAGCCACAATGCTTTTCACTGTGCTTGGAAAGGTTACCCTAATCACAAGAAAACTGAGAACTAAGATTGTCAACAGTTTACTTCTGGCTACATAGTGAAGCACATACCACTATGTGTGTCACATCTCTCTCTTTATGCCTCGAACTTATACCTCTCACAGCCTAATAAGCAGCAACACAATCTATATTAATCTGGTTTATTCCTTCTCTCTGTGGATGAGTTCTGAGTTTTTTTTCTCCCAGGCAACTTTGTGATGTTCCTCATTCAAAGTCTTGTAGTTCTCTCTGACTTTGAGCTAAGCCCTAATATGAACACTGCTCCAGAGAGCATCCATATTTTGAAGACAAAAATGTAGAGGGATGAACAAGCAGGATGTGAATGTAATTTTATTTATTATATAACCTATCTCTGATGGAATACTTCAGATTTGGCATGAAGAATCTTGTGTCTCACACACAAAGACCTACCAGTGTCTTTCCAGCACCACTATTCTCCCAGATAGTGTCACTGATGCAGTGGAATTAGTCATAGCATGAGGTACTCTTTGGTGTAAGCATTCCATGATGATAACATAACAAATTGTCCTAAATTGTCCTACAGCAAGAAAGCACTAAGCAAAGTCCTTGTGATATGTAAAAGTCACCTGCATAATTTGCTCATTCTGAAATAAATAAGAATAATAATATGTTTCCAGACAGAGGGTTTTGGAAAGGTTTAAAGAAAGAATATAGAATGGGAACATTCCATAATTACAGACACAGCATCCACATTCTGAGATTATTCTTATCCCAATCTGAATTATGTCAAATTATATTGTAAATGCTGTAGGGCAAAGGAGTATCTATATTACCACACATGCAGGATAAGCATACTGAACTTATAGGGAAAATTTCAATTTGTGGTTATTACACAGCATTTCTTCGTTGGGAAAGGAGTTATTGGATTACAGGCACATCCCCTGAGGAAAAGGTGAAAGAACCTTTATCTGAGTCATTTAAATATCAGCTGACTGGCTAGGGAGCAGCTTTGCAGAAAAGCAATTGAACATGAGTAAGCAGCAAGCCCTTTCAGCCATAAAGGCTAATTACATTTTTGGTTGCATTAGCAAGAATGCAGTTAGCATGTTGAAGCACTTGTGAGGCTATATTTGGAATACTACCTCTATTGTCCATACACACCCCCACCCTGCCCCAGCCCCAGTACAACAGCGATATCAACAAATTGTAGAGGGTCCAGCAGAGGGTCACTAAGATGATCAGGAGACTGGAGCAGAAACATAACAGGAGAGGCTGAGGGAATTGCTTTTTTTCGTCTTGGAGAGGAGCAGGCTAAAGGATGGCTATTTGCATGACTACAACTGCCTAAACAGAGTTGGAGTCTTAGAGGGGCACAGTGGAAGCCAGTGGGAACAAGCTGCAGCAAGATAAACTCTGATTAGAAATAACAAAAAAATGCTTTCTCTTGAGGGTACTTCAGCACTGGAACAGATTTCTCAGAGAGCTTGTCAAGTCTCTGTCCTTGAAGATATTCAGAAATCACCCGGACGAAGCTCTGAGCAACGTGGTCTAGCTTTGGAGTTAGCCCTGTTTTGAACAGGAATTTGGACTGAGAGATCTTCAGAAGTCCCATGATGATGGGACAGAAGTCCCAGATGATTTTTATCATCTTGTTTTGCTGTCTTGAGATACCTAGTGTGGGGGGTTTTTTGATTTGTAAAAGCAGGTCAGCAACTCCCCAAAACCCACAAGTCTTTCGTTTTTTGTGTGTTGCACAACAGAAACAGCAGCTGCACATGCAAAACCCATCTGCAAACTTCAGTAACAAGAAGATTGTGTGATAACATGAGACAAAAAACCTACCAGCTTTCATATGTGTCACTATTTCTGTCCAACTGTAACACGGTGAACAGGGAGCTGCACCCTGTGCCTCATCCTGAGAGGCCGGGGTGGTGTTGTGGTGAGAGAGGCTGATGCATTATCAAAACGGTTTTTTCTGAGTAAATGTCAAACCGCATCCTGTTTTGGCTAAAATTCAACTGCTGTTCCCTTAAAGAGATATTTTCAAGCACATTTTGGCATGTCATCTGCTCTAATTCTGAGGTACGGTTTTCTGCTGAGGCCTTCAGAGATATTTCCCCCTTCTGTTGAAGACCCTGGCTATGCTAGACAGAAGCTCCCTTCAGGGTCTCCACTCTACGCCTCCTACTCCTTCTGCCTTGCTATTGCATTCCCAGATGTTCTGCTTCCAAAGGTCCACAAGCACTCCTCTATCTTGGCCTGTGTTATTCCTACCTCTATTTAGGATACATCTATACATAAAAGGTATGACTGTTCTTCATTTATTCCCGAGTGAGCTGCCTCTGAATTACCAATTGTTTAACTTGTGCCATAAGGTAATAACTGAATGAGATGCAAAGTAGATGAAAGATCTCCAGAAACACTCTCCAGGATTAGTAATCCCTTGGTTTTATAGTTTATACTGCACAGAAATGGTGCCCACAAACACAGCTTTAAAGAACCACTGCCTGATTCCCCTTCCTCCTCCCTCACAGATTAGATTCTCTTCCCTATTTCTGAGTTGCATTCTTTTTTTCTTTCTTCCTTTGCTTTTCTTTGTCTTTCTTATTTTTCTTATTTTCTTATTCTTCCTAATTTTCCTTTTTACCCTTTTCTTTAAAAAGACTACACATTCTGATAATACTTCATTAATTGTCTTGTGCAGTATCTCCCTGGAGTTCTTACCCTCTTTTTTGTCTAAAACCCTCCCCTTCATTCTCACTAGCTTGTCTTGAAAATGATGAGAGACACAATATGGTTGTAGAGAAGTGGATTTATATAAATAAGAACTTTAAAACATCATTTTGTCCAAAGTGGTCTCCTGTACAGTTAGAATGAATTAGGACAAATGTGTACAGACTACACATGTTCCTCTCTGTTCCTCTCCTTGGACCTAGGCATCAGCCCCATCACAAACATCTCATACAAAATGCTCTTGAAAATAAGCATGATGTATACAAACTTCCCAGCTGTAGCACTTCTCTGATAGTTTTCTGAAAAGTAAGGGAGAAAGCAATAAATAAAAACCAACAGAGAAAACAAGCATTTCTTTAGAAAACTTTACTTGACAAGGACATTTTGTTTTCATTCTGCTGATTAGGAGAACTTGTTCAGTGCTCATATGCACAAGTTATAACTTGGCTGCCCTTAGCTGAAATATCATGTTAAGTAGTAATTGTATTAGACTTTTCACATTCACGTTGGTATGACTGATTAGGAATTGGTCTGAAGAATGAGAAGTTGGGGGCATCAAATGAAACTGGATTTGGAGTCTTTCTCACGGGAATATAATTTATTCTAATTCTGTAGTATTTTTAAGGAGATAATGTACTGTAGTATGTGGAGTCAGTGACTTAGCAAAGTGTTCTAACTACTTGCTAGAAAATCAACATACATCTTTATGCTACAGGTAGGTCTGCTGCTCTAAGTGATATTTTTATGCTGAAATACTGAGTTCTAGCGGCCAGTCTCACGGAAGATTTCATGAGAGTAGACAGAATTTGGATGTGTATTCAACAAGAACATGAATGCATGTGTCCGCACATGTACAATCCTGCACCCGTGCATACAGACATGAATAGCTGTGCCTGCCAGCAAATGCAAATGCAGGACATATTGAGACACATACACACAAGACACATCTCTCTTTGCATACACAGGTGTATGTATAGATAAACAAACTCACTGTCAAGAGAGGAAAAAATTAATGGTTTAACTTACCTTTAAAGACACTACAATCTAAAAACAGGAGAAAAGAAATAGGAGATATTATTTGAGCCCAGATATGTATCAGCACCTCTTTTAAAGTGCTCTTTTTGTACAATCACTTGTATAATAGAGGGTGGGTGTGGGAATGAGAATTATATGGCTTGTAGCAAGTTTGGAGAAGAACAGGATTGGATTCTTGTGTTTGGTCTCAATTTCCTGGGGACTGACAGATCTGAGTTAAGTGTAGTAGGCAAGAAACATGCCTTCAGTAATGACTGCTTACTCTAGATATAGGAGGCTACAGAGGATGAACCCCACACCCACATGTATTTTACTCACCAGCATCACTGTAGATTAATTTGTGTATCGATTCCAGTGTTCCATTCCTAAAAAAATTGGCAACACACTCAAAATGGTTCAAAGGATTGAACCATTCCTGGGCTGAGATCCTCAGTCGGCTGGTCAATGAGTACATACTCCCATTCCGTGTGGAAAACTCATCTGTCCCCACCCCTTCTGTCCTCGTAGCACCATTCACCTTCCAGACCAGATTCAGGTGGTCAGGGTAGAAACCAGAGGCCAGGCATACCAGCGTGGCCTTGCTCTTCTGTTGGATCTCTTGCTTTGATGGGGAAAAGATGGCCACAGCTGGAGGTATGATTTCATCGTTCTTCCCTGAAACGGAAAGCAATATGGCCCGGAGCCTTCATCCTCATACGTCTAAGTATCAGACCGTGGGGTTTTTTTGTAGAAATATGTGTGTTGGAGACTGGATGCTGAATTCAAGATTCAATGTGACCTATAGTGCTGAGCATGCAGGATCATGATTTTCAGTATAAAAGACAATTATATTTACATTAAATTTTAATTGTCTTTCCAACATAGTATGTACTAGATATGCCATGCTATATATGCCGTTTAAATAAGAATAAATAGGTTATTTGAACAGAATGTGGCTCCAGGATTTAAAATATAAAGGTACAGAGCAAGTACAAAACTTTTTCTCTGGATACTGACCAAATAGACAAGCTTACTAAAGCTAAGGTACTAATTGAAAAAAGGAATTTAATTCTCTGGTTAGTTGTGCTAAACTATACAATGAGCAGGGGGCAAACTGATCCTCTGCATTCATCCTCTATTGTCTTTATCTCTTTCTGTGTATATCCATCTCCTCAGGTCCTGAGTCAAGATTTTTCTGAAATTTCTTGACTTATTTCACCTCAATCTCTCCTTCTCCTTATCCTACATTTTTAAAAATAAAAATAAACAAGCAAACAAATTGAATCTCCCCAACCTATAACCTACAAAATCCTTAACCTACAAAGTTTTCCAAAAGAACCTAGAGGGAATGTGTTTTGTTATTTAGCAAAGAAATAGTAGGCCGTGTTTTCTTACCTAAGTCAGTCAGCTTAGTTCCTGTCACCAAATGTTGCTCATATCCAGAGCACAAAGAGATAATAGAGTAATAAATCCCACACCCCACACACCTATTGAGCAAAATAAGGATTAAATTGTGAAGGCTTGATTCTGCACTGCTAATACCATTTCCACTCTGCTTGAGGAAAAATAAGTGCACTAGATCCTTGGTGTCTTCTCCTGGTGCCAAAAAGGACACAAAGTACAAATTTATTAGACTATGAAAAGAAGCAAATGGTACTTCAACTGTGTTTCTCATGCCAATGTCACAGGACTTGTCAGCTCCATCATTTCTATTAAAACTATCTCCTATTTTTTCCTTGCATAAACTCATGGCAATGCAGAAAGAATTGAGATCAGAAAAAAACAGGGTTAAATGCTAGACAATAATTCCTCTTGCCAAAAGTCTGTTTGTCTGTGTCTGAAAATATGAATGCTTGAGTTTTGTGTGTGCATTATGTATTAGTATTTCCCCTCCTACAGAAACATTCTGTGATATATCCTTTCATTCAGATTCTTCCCATTTAGCTTTTCTTACGCCCTCATTGGATGACTTTACAGAATGATCTCCCACATCAGCATGTATAGGTTATCCTGATTTTCTTTCTCAGACTCATTTGACCATCTCCTTCTCTGCTCTTTCTCTTTCCCCATCTGTCTGCTAGGAATCCAGTGCATACATCTGAAATCTGAATAGCCAGACAGCATGGTAGACAGCTTAGAGTTGTCATGGTAAAAATAACTTTAATGACTCTAATTGTGCATAAGAAACCAGACTGAAACTAAAAATGGAGGGTGGAATTTTGACTCTAATGAAATTAGTGGAAGCTTTATCACTCATTTCAACAAAACTAACATTTTAACATTTGGTTTTCTATTTTTGCTTCCTGGATCCAGTGTTATAGTGTGTTCCAGGGTCAGCACTAGGTTGCCTGCACCTAACTTGAGAAAAATGGCATTTTCCCAGTTTTCATGTAGCTGGACATATCCATTTTCACCAGAGCTAGACCACAGTAGGTTTGTTCACTCATGCACAAATGCACTTTGGCACCACAATTGCTATCTGCTTACCTGTTCTTAAGTGTTCTGTGTTGCCTGGCTCTTTTCTCTCTATCTTCTCCTAGAGAATCCCAGTGAGGATCACCAGATTCTACTGATTTATGTTCCATCAAAAATTCCCTTTCTTTTTATTCCAGAATCTTAAAGGAACTCTCTGGTATTTGCTGTATTTCTTTCTTACATGGAACTGTTTAGTTACATCACTCCTCCAAAAAGTAGTTTGTCTGCTCCAAAACACCTATCCCCCAGTTTCTCTCCCATTCACTTTGACTAAGCTCCACCATAACCACTCTGAAACTCTATGTGTGAGAACAAGATTGATCAGGATTTTTTTGATAGGTTTGACAAATGCAGCCATTTTCACCAAATGTCCTTATAGATTATATTCATCTTAATGTGCTCCAGAAAGAGCTGGAATTATTTTTTATATTCCATTCTGCTGTGCTCTAGTCTACCCTAACTTTATAGAGCATGAATAATGAGGCATCTTGGGAAAAGAACCCATCATCTGAGTCCAAAGACTTCCCTCTTTGTTTACCCTTGTCACACTCCCAGAATCTTGCCCCTTGCACAACCTAATACACTCCTCATGATTCCCACTTGCACAGAACTGTTACTTTTGTTTCTTCTCCAAAATACTGGATATTGGCAGAGCACAGCCTCACAGTGTAATATCAAAACTACTGACACCTGCCCTGGGCTGCTGTCCAGTGATAACCACGTTAAACCTTCAAATACCATTTTTTTTGCAGAGTAGTAGCCAAAGGTGTGCTGAAAAGAAGGTATATCAGTCTGTCTAAGTAGTACTTGGTTATTAAATATTCTGCATTGTTTTCTAATGGTGATTTGGATCACAGCATAAAAACAACCCCTCATTTCTCTGTCATTAGTAAAGCACTTTATTGTCTGGTGCTGTAGTTTGACATCAATATCCTCACAATTTTTAGGAATCATGATACATATTGTAAGATCCAGTCTTTTTCATTTGGACCCACTCTCACTTTCTTTCCCTCTAGCCTCCACATCTTTTGTCAATTCCTTATGAATACCTGTACATCCTTCCCAGTCCTACTTCTTCTGCCTTTTTCTTTTTCATGGACACACATTCCATTTGCATATAAGAGTGGGAAATAGATTGTAGGAATAAGAGGGAATCATAATGATTAGTTCATTCTGTAGGCAACTTAGTTCTGGGGAAAAGACTTGGTCAGTCACACAGTTCGTTTCTGGTAGAATAGAGCCAGTAGACTCAGTGAACACTGAGTAGAGCCTCTGGGAGTTCTGCATTGTAGAGGTAGTATATATTCTTCCAGAACACACTTATTTGACTTGAGGTCTCTTCTTCTTTGGTCTTGTCTCATCCTTCTCACTCCTTTCAGTTTATTCCATTAAGCTTGCTTGCTTGCTAGCTTTCTCCACAGTTCTATTAAACTGACAAATTAACACCAAACTGTACTATTCACAGGGCAAACTTAGTAACAATAATTCAATTGTTCTTCTTCACAGTCCCTACTATCTCCCTTTTTCTTGACCTGTCTTTCCTGAAACACCATCTTTAGCCTTCTTAGTGAAGCTCTGCTGACTCAAACCCTTCCACTGCACTTTCTTTTTCTTACCTAGAACAGTGAACCATGTTCCTTTTTCAAAATAGAGTATTACTGTTGACCTCCATATAAAAATTTTCTGAGAAGCTTGTTCTCTCTTCCTCCTCCTTATTGGCACAAAATTTCTATTTCCTAATCTACCATACCCAGAAAAGTCACTCCTGAAAGATTCCCTACCCCTGAAAGAGCTGTACTAGCCCCTGGAGGTGCAGTATGCTACTTCACTTACATAGCGTGTACAGCATTGAAATACCAGGACCACAGGGAAGATCCTGTTCATCCTTCCCTTGCAGTCCATCACTCTACTTCCCTTTCTTTCAAGCTTAACAAAAAACCATTTTCATTTAATCTGTTTTGATGTTAAGCATCCTCTTCCCCATGAGCCTACAAATACTGCTTTTAGGCATGGGATTTAGCAAAACCCTGACTGTTAAGTGTCCCAGACAATGACTTTTCTTTTTTTTTGAGGCCACTTGCCATCATATATCCTACCATTTCACAGTCCAGCAGACTGAAGTGTAATCACACAGCCTGACATTTGCCCTCACCCCTTACTTAATTCTGCAGAATTTTGAATCGCCTAATTGGAAATCCCTTACCCATGCACCCTCCTTCCTATAATTCATACAATGGTCAGGTGCTTAACCCACAAAATCTGTTTTCTCCTCGCCCATAATTAATGTTCTGCCTGCTTCAAGTGATGAGGGACCCAAAACTAGATGTCCTTTTCAAGGTAAAGTTTTATCATAGCCATCAGAAAGAATTCCTACTATACACATTTCTTGGGAGATGTTGCTTCAGATATGCAAATGCTGGCTCCCACAGGAAGGTCAGTACCTCTGGCATGTGCTAACAAAAACGTTTGTCAAGGAGGGTGAAAGAGAATTGACAGATGCACTCAGTTTTGCTGTCAGCCTCTACTTATCACTCAGTGTAGTCACTGAGGTCTGTTGTCTGAAGTTGAGAGGGAAACCACAAGAAAACAGTACATAACTGTTGTAACAGCATTAAGGTTTTGAAGGGACAAAGACAAAGAAGCCTCCATCAACTCCGCTCTTCCCTGTCTCCCATCCCCATCTTCTGTGATCTAGGAAATTTTCGATACAGGAATTCACCAACTGGGAGGAGTGAAGAGCTGTTTATTTTCTGTTCTCAGGACCCTGGGACCCTGGCTTGTGCCAACAGATAATTGTCCCCTATTCCATGTCACACTTGACACAGAAGTTGCTCACCAATGTTTTTGCTTCCTTCACTTCAGATTATATCCTTTTGTCCTTTTGTTTCAAATGCTATTTCTCAAGTGTATTAGTCCTTTGCTTGGATTTTCAGACAGCAGTCCCTTGATATCAGTACTCCTCCTCCTCCTCCTCATAAAATACATAATTAGAGCTCTAATTTGTCCCTTAATCTATCTTTCAATTCCTGAATAATGTTAGTGCCTTGATCTGCAAGTTATCTCCAGCTTGTGAGTTTTATATCAAGAATCGAAACATCATCTCCTTTCTTCTAGGGGTTCCCCCACTCATACCCTGTCTGTGTTTCTCTTTGGGTTTTTTTTTTTTCCTTCTTCTGTATCTTTGTGTATTTCCTTGAATCTTTCAAAAGCAAAAATGACCTAGAGGGTCTTTTGCAATGATCAGGGCAAATGTGGCAAAAATTATTTATGAAAATAACAATTGCAACTGTAAGACTGATCACCTCTCTCACTGATACACAGAGTAACTTAAATATGACTTGACTAAAATAGAAAATATAGGTATAAAAAGAAATAATTGAAAGACAAAAGTCTTTCTGGGTTTCCTTTGTTTTATTTCAAACATACTTTGTAAACAACATTTTCTTAATTGTAACAGTCAGCTTGGTCCCTCCTCCAAACTGCAGTGGCTCTGTGTAAGCACAGCTAAAAATTATTGCTAAAATTGCTGAAATCTTGCAGATAGAAGTCCAAATGGCTAAGATTATTACTCTGTGTTGTCTGAGTTTGTGTAAAGGTGAAATAAACTCAAATTTCTGCCATTAGTGGGGAAGCAAATGCTAAGACTTTATGTGAATTGTTGAGGGACATTACATTGTTTAGTTGAGGATATCAAAAAGTGCTCCTTTTGGTCACACCTTGTGAATTTGAGACCCATAAAGGCATTTTTGTAAAAAGCAGTCTCTCAGAAAACGATTCTCCATTTTGTTTGAAACAGCCGTGAGACTACGTAAGTAGTAGTTGTAAACTCTTTGTTCAATATGATATTTTCTCCTGTTCTGAAGTGTTTAGAAGAGATTAAAGAAGTGACAAGCACAGAGCAGGAAAAATTACTCCATTTTATGGGATTATACCCCTCTGTCCTCTAGCACTAAGATATACTTCTTTTCTGATAATGACATTAAAAAAGATATGCCAGGTTCCCCTCAAATCTATCATCAGATCCCTTTCAAACAAACAAATGCATTAACTGACAGGTGACTTTTAATCTATTCACCCAATTTTTCTTCGCTACTGCAATGAGCCTGGTGCCGTCACCAAGCTAATCTCGAGTAAGAACACAGTGAGAGAAAAAGCAGCTACAATGCCTCTCCTGAAAGGGTGTCACTTCTCATCTGGTTAGTGTTCCGTTCCCTTCTCTACCACCCTTGAATTCTGCATCTATTTTGGCTATAAATCAGCCTATTTTTTATGAGCAGGTGTGTGAGGATTTGCTTAGATGACAGATACCAGAAATGGAAGAGAGCTCCTCTTCTCACCAGTCACACAGGCAAATATAATGGAATATGTTCTAAAGCTTTGCCCCTTCCTGATTTTGCTGTACTTATTTTAAATAGAAATGCAAAATTGTTAGAATAGCTGTATTGGTCATACTGAAAGGTTCTGCTAGAATAACACAATATGAAGAGTGAATGACAAGCAAAGACTGTAAGACTACTGAAGGCATGTAGTGGTTACTTTCCTAAAATACTCTTTTATCTCTAATGCTTTTAAGTTCAGGGATCACAGTAAAATTGAAGAATCCTTTATAGTTTTGTCCTACTTTTCTGATCTCACACTGCATCCAGATAAACATTTAATTTATAAATGTGCTTAGTAATAGAGACTTCTTTTCCTCCTTTACTTCAGTAGGCATGGATTTAACAATTACTCTAATCTGCCTTTTGCCAAGATAATAAATAATTTTAACCCTGTTTCCTAAATCAACCCTTTAGCACATTTTATTGGTTATGTCAGCATTTTATTCTGTAATGAACTAATGTTCTACAGTAAGCAACAAAAATACCTAAGGAAACTTACCAAGCACTGCCAGCTGGGTGCTCTGTCCAAAGTACAGTGGTAAGTTTGCACAATATTTTGAAGAAGTACCAGAATTGCCTGCCACTAGAAGCTCTCAACTGCACATAAAGCCTGTATGATATCATGCCATATCTTACCTTTCATGAGGTCACAAACGGAGGGGACCTTTATGCTCTCATCTGTGTTAGAAAATACTGTGCTTTTGCAGAAAAATATGCTGAAGCAGATGGTATATTGCTCCAAGAGGTACTGTATGTAGTGAATCCAGCCTATCTAGGAAGCAGCTCTTTCCATCTCTCTCTGTGTCCTGTTCTCAGTCGTAGTTTCAGAATTCAATCTGAGACACCTTCTGTAAATAAAGGCAGAAAGAGTGAATCTCTCCCCTTTCTGCCATCACTAAGCTGTGCTAAAGAAGAGTTGAGTTTCTGGAACTCACCCATCCTGCATCTATTTCCCCTGACTTCCCTCTTGCCCAGTTTTCATACAAAGGATTTCTTTCTGTCTTAAAAAAAAAATTCCAGTGTCATGTATTTGTTAAAAGTGTAGGCTGCTTTTCCTTACCTAGTATTGTTACCTGGGTCCCAGGACCGAACTGCTGAGTATGTATCACAATACTACAGAGACTATCTCAAAATATACCCCTCCCCATAACAAAAATGGGAGGGAGAAATATGAACATCCCATGTGAAAAATCCAGGAAGGACATGTGTCATCCTGGGAGACAATCCCAGGGATTGATGCTCTCAGGAGACATTGCAGGAATGCTGATAGTGCTAACAAGTAGGCCACAGAATCCACTTCCCAAAAGGAAGTGGTGTAAATGCTGTTTTACAGCAAACTGGGAACTAGCCTGGACAACATCCTAAAGAGTATCCTATTGGGTATGTTGTCAAAAGGATAATATGGGTGTAGGAGGGTAGATAACGTTTTGCCCTCCTGGGCAAAAACGCCCGGAGGCCTGCATGGATGAACAAGGAGCTCCTGGATAAACTCAAACACAAAAGGGAAGCCTACAGAGGGTGGAAGCAAGGACAGGTAGCCTGGGAGAAATACAGAGAAATTGTCCGAGAAGCCAGGGATCAGGTTAGGAAAGCTAAAGCCCTGATAGAATTAAATCTGGCCAGGGA